TTTAGGAGTCCCGGGTCAATAGAACAAAGGAATTTCTGGCAATTCTACCCATGAATCATGAGAAAATTGAGCATTAAAATGGTTCTGGTCTTAATCTGCTCCATGCCATTCCAAGATTCCACAGTTACAGCAATAGACATATCAATGCAGAATCATCATGATACAAATCTCAATATTGCCCTCTAGAGACTTGCTAGATATGATGGTAGAAAACTTTATTCATCTAGAGCAAGAGAGTCATGGCGGTGTCACGTGATATATCAGGACTTTTTTCCCTTCCTTAAAATGGGTGTGGGCGTGACCAGCATGTGACGCATCCGGTGCATGGGCCAGGAGTTTGACAGCCTTGATCTATAGTTTTGTCTCCAAGTGGTGAATTACTTAACTTGCCATAACATATCAACATGAGAAAATAGTATCCTGCCTTAATTGCCTGCCAGATGATCAGAGGGGAATAAACAAAAGTTGTTGTTGAGTTTAGTCACCCTGCATTCAGTCTTGGGTGTCCTGGCTGGAGATTAATTATTCTTACTAATTTTGTTATTGGGTCCTATGATGACAGCTACCAGAATGTCTTTGCAAGTTTAGGAACTGTAGTTCTGTAATTGGGGGGTGGGGAATCTGTTTTTCACACTTTCCACAGGTGTGAATATTCAGGCTGCTGCATGTTTTCAGCCAATCATTCAAATTGTGAAGTTTCTCTTTGATGGTTCTCTAATAGTGGCGTGCATAAACCAGGAGGGTGGCATGAAATTACCCTCTTTACTCAACCTCTGTCTGAGGCTGTGGGATTGGTGTGTGTAGCCTGACATCACTTCCTTATATCTTACAGAGAAAGACTGTGCTGGCATATGTTCCTAGCTGCATGAATTAATTAGAGTAATTGGTTCTTGATAGCCTCTTTTGTAGATGGGGGATTCAAGAAATAAATATTTAGCAATCCATGGCAACCCTGAATGTGTTCAATATTTCAGTGGATGGGAGCATGGTCTAAATTCATTTGCAGACACCAGTGTCTCTGGTTATGTTGCAGCTTGATTGCCAAGTTGGTCAAAAAAGTATTTAAGATGATACCGTGATCTCATAACATCTGCTAGGCTTGCTGAACTTAAAGTATCCAAATATAGCTTTGCATCATGGACATTCATATTTCACTTTGGTAAGGTATTTCTGTCATCTCCCATGATCAAGATAAAAGCATGAACTGAGACCATTCAGTACTTTCTCCATGAAAATGATTATACTANATAATGTGATGCAAAGAGATGTTAATGTGTCAAGGGTCAAGGCAGTCGCATTTGACAGAAAAAGTGGAGTATACTTTTTTTTTTTTAAAAAAAAAATATATTTTCTTCATACTTATAACTTGTGAATTAGTTACAGATCCTAAGTGGTTTGCAGTGATATGAAACACCACATATATGAATAAATAAACAAACAAATAAATAAAATGTCCATTATAAAAGTTAGGTTATTGTGAAATGAAGTAAACCAAGTTGTATTTATTGGATTTATATCCTTCCTACAGGAATTACCATACTACAACAACCCTAGGAGGTAGGATGAGCTGAGAAAGAGTAGGAAGCTCAAAGTCCCCCAGTTAGCTTCCATTGCAGAAGAGAGACTGGAACCTGGGTCTCCCCACCTGTAGTTCAACACTTGAACTGTTCTACCACACTGGCTGTCATAGAGAGCTACTGTAGTGCTACTAGATGAATTTATGTATGTTGATAGAATGTTTACTAAAGGTGGGCGGGGAATTATACAGATAAATTTTAAGCCGCACATATCTGATAGAAAGATAATAAGTAGTATGTGATCTATTGTACAGAATGTGTCTTGTCAAAAGGAATAAAAGCAGCTTCCGACTGCTTTGTTATATGGAAGTGAGAGTTGGCAGTATCTGGAGAAATAAAATTGTAACTTGACTGCAGTTGAAATATGGTAGTCAAGAAATGTACTTAATAAAGCAAGAATGAATGGGTGCTGAATGAATGTGGAGTGCAATGCAAAACTAAGCTGCCAATATGAAATAAATAACATTGCTTAAAAACCAGGGTTGTACAGAGAGAATAAATGTGGACTGAAGTGCTAAATGAAGTGAAAGTGTTGAGAGAATGAAAAATTTGTGGTGGTTGTTGATTCTGGAAAAGAAACAAAAAGGCAGTGTATGAAACAGTATGAAGCAAAGCAATATGAAGCAGAGCGTGAGCATGAAACAGTAAGAAGCAAAACAGATAAGATATATCTGACCTAAAGATAGTTTGGAAGCCTACACAGGTATGGAGAGATATAATGAATGATATTGCCTTTAATATTTCTGGCTATATTTTATCCCCTTATTATTTTTATAAATAACTCAAGATGATAAATCTAATATTCATTCCTCCTTCTGTTTCTTCTTCTTTTCCTACATTCTGCATAATATTACTGCTCCTGAAGTATATTGGAATGTACATAAAAAGTAGTATTGTGACATAATGGGAAAGCTCAGAAGACATCACTAAATATTAGAGGAAGTCATCATTAGTGACACTGGCTTTTATGTAGACTTTAATAGTCTTCCCCAAGCTTTCACAAATCCATATAAGTATATTCATTTGGAATCCAACAACTTGGAAAAAGGAAGATAATCAATAGATTGGATCCAGTTGCTCCAGTCTTGATATCTCTTCAACAGATTATTCTCTCTCTGACAATGGGGAAAATTATGAAGACATTTTTTTGGAACTTGTCTATAAGTGTGGAACAAGGAAGCGCCTTAGGAGCAATTGTGGGCTTTAAAAAATGAAGAGAAGGATCATTATGTGACTATGCAGTAGTCTCTCAATCACTCCCTGCACCAGAATGTCTGTTTAAAACAATATAGGGGAAAAATAAAGGCAGTTGTTACAGAAAAACTGGATATTAGATAAGCAGATTGACCAAGATGATTTGAAAATTCTGAGCCCTCTGTTCAGAAGCAAAATAAATTCACTACATTCAAAGCAAGATCTTCAGTTTCTAAAAAGAATTCAGTAGAATGTGAACAAGAGCCAGTTTGGTGTAATGGTTATCAGATTAGAAACCAGGAGACTCTGAGTTTTAGTTCTTGTTCATATTCTAACTTCTTGAAATGATCTATTAGGTCTCATAGGATTTTTGAATCCATTACATGCAAAAGGTTGTAGAGATTAACAAAACTAATTTGCATATTACCAAGAAAAAAATATGTTAGAGAGCATTCATGTGTTACATTAATTCAAAATAAATTACATACAAAATGTGAAGTTAATGTCTTAGCAAGTATTTTTTTAATGAGTGTCTGAACTCTATCCCTAGATGTATAGCTTGTTCTTCTTTGTATGGTTCCAGGAAAATCAGTTGAGTTCTTAACGGAATGTCAAATAATTGATTAGCTGATCCTCCTGAGGTTCAGTCCCATTGATGGCATTATTATTTTTTGTCAATGCAGTCCATATAATTAGTTCCAACATAATGTAATATTTTGGTGTTTTGAGTTGGTGTTTTGAGTTATGATAATGATGACCAAAGAAAGAAATTGGGAAGGTGCAGAGAAGATAAAGTAATTAGACAGTTTGATAAGGGGTATCTAATGAGCTTCTTTAATTGGTTGATAAATTATTATTTTATCTGATTTTTGTTTATAATCTTTATATATTTATCTCTTTATAATTTTATGTTATACTTATAATTTAGTTCTTTCTATAATCTATAAGACGTTTTATAGATGAATTGCAACAATATTAAAAGAACTTACAGAGGATATGGCAATAGCTTTTATTGGGAATAATTCTCCACCAACTCTTAAACTATATAGATGTTTTCTAGCACTTTTAATTCATTTTTTTTTCTTTTTCTAGACAGGTGGGCACATGTGTAAACAATTTATTGAGCTATTGTCACTCGCCACATATGTTTTGTAACTATGCTCCTGGAGAGCCATTCTTGAAAGTAGATTAGATGCTGGAAAGTAGTGCTTCGCCCCATAGCAGATTAACTGTTGCTTTCATATCTATATATCAATATCATGGAGCTAGCTGCAAGGAAGTGTTGTGAAGTTCATTAGTGTTCATGGGTGTCATGTTGGGGATCAACATTTGAGTTACTATGTCCCCAAACCTTTCAAGATAATCACTTACAGCATGTAAGTATTTTGAATAGGCCTGGTGCAGCTGAGTATAGTTCCACAGAATTGCACTGATTAGTACTAATTGGTAACCTCCTAGGTCTGTTTTGGGCTAAATTCTCAAAACTTCCCATCAAATAAAAACTTCAGGAGAGGAAGGCAGAGATGTCTCTGAGAATGCTATAACTTGAAGCAGTTGAACTGAAAGATTTTCTCCTTGATAACCCATTAGACAAACCCGGCATTAGCTTGAAAAAAAACCAGGAAAGAATATTTCAGATCCCCCCAATTTGTGCAAAAAGCTTTCCCCCTGCTGAGATTTCCCAAGGTTTTTAGAGAGAGAAGGCACTGTAGAGAAAATATTCCTTAATCTCACAGACTGTCTATCAAGTATGCAACAATCTTACTCTGTAGTGACTCTTTCACAGTGCCTTAACAATCACATCTGCTGATGGGAGAATGGGAAAGTTCTTTGACATATCCTCCAGTTTGTGATCAGGCAATATAAAGGTATACAAATCTATGTTTTGTGTTAGAGAAAATATTCCCCATTTTTGTAGGAAAAGAGACTTTGAAATAATGGCTTTTAAATCTTTTCTACAATGAAAAATTTTCATCAGGAGTATTTTGTTCAACCCTAACAAAAAAGTGTGTATAGTCAAGACTATGGTTTTCCCAGTTGCAATGTATGGCTGTGAAAGTTGGACCATAAGGAAGGCTGAGCGCCAAAGAATTGAGCCTTTGAACTATGGTGCCGGAGAAGACTCCTGCAAGTCCCTTGGACTGCAAGGTGATCAAACCTGNTCTGTTTGCAGCTCCAACAGCTCCTGCTGGGCCACAACACATTTCCATTCAAATGTGAGAATTAGAAAATTTTGATGGAGAGTAGTTCAAACAGTTTATCTAAAGGGTACCTATTGCCATTTATTTAAATATTTCAAAACAACAATAATGTTTGCTTAAAAAAACTTGGTTACATTATCTGAAATGTCTGATTTTATCAAAGCAGTAAGTCACAACTCAGGGATACTGCCCACACCTTCATTCAGAAATCAATAATAGAATTCAGCTTTATTTCTATAAACACGAGTTATAAATATAATTATATTATCTTTCAAGAGCCACAGTATTTTATTACATCAAAATTATTTCCAGGGGTAGAGGAACATTTTATACTTTTTAAAATAGTATATCTTATTAGTATACAATTACATTAAATTGTGTTGAAATATGCATGTTGGGATTGATATAGTATAGTATTTATTTTTATTCCCAAATTCTAATAGTAAGAGAAAGTGAATTTTCATTAACAAACCATATATTGTGGGCATAGTTTATATTATTCAAAATAAAATACAGTAATACTCTCTTAGTAAGCACTTGTTCAGTAATTGTTCAAACTTACCATGTGCTAAAAAAGGAGACTTACAACCAGTCTTCAAAATTCTGGCTATCACAGCATGCGCACAGTCACATGGTCACAATTCAGATCTTTGGCAACCAGGGTGCATTTACAATCCATTTGGACTTTCACACCCGGCTTCTGACAAGCAAAGTCAATGCGGGCGCTGGCAGGTAGACACAAGTTGTGGTAGGTAGCTTTTGTGCTGAATGACCCATGGTGATTTGCTTAATGACTACAATTGAAAATGATTGACTGATATAATATGGTGTATCATTTTATGATTACGTTGCTTAGTGATGGAGTTATCAATTGTTAAATGAGTGCTACCTTTATAAGAAAGGGCAAATAATATAAATAGGTTATATTAGAGATGTGGTGCTACAGTTGTTAGAATGCAGTACTGCAGATAATTCTGCTGACTGCTGACTGCCAGCAGTTCGGCAGTTCAAGTCTCACTGGCTCAAGGTTGATTCAGCCTTTCATCCTTCTGAGGTCAGTAAAACTAGGACCAGATTGTTGGGGGCAATATGCTGACTCTGTAAACCACTTAGAGATGGCTGAAAAGTACTTTGAAGCAGTATATAAATCTAAGTGCTATTGCTATTATGCAAAAAAAAAAAAGATACACTTAATTTTGTAATTCCAGTAACATGAGTAAAATAATAAATCATGCATATTTATATTTTTAATTCTGTGTACAGCAAATGGCAGTGAAGTCCACATTAGCAATGTACGTTATGAAGATACCGGAGCATACACTTGTATTGCAAAGAATGAAGCAGGAGTTGATGAAGATATTTCTTCCCTTTTTGTAGAAGATTCTGCACGGAAAACCCGTATGTAATATTTCTTTTTCATGTATGTATGTATGTATGTATGTATATGTATAAGAGTATACATAATTTCAGAAAATTATTTTGTATGTTCTGTTTGTTTGATTCAGAAATAAATATTTAAGAAGCTTGCCTTTCAGTGGGCCTCACTGTCATAAATTAATAATATGTTAACAGAAAGTCAATATTATTATGAATTAAAGTCTAAATTGATAAGTAATTCAGCCTTCCATCCTTCCGAGGTGGGTGAAATGAGGACCCGGACTGTGGGGCAAGTTGCTGACTCAAT